AAAAAACTACGAAATATTGTTTCTTGAATTACCTTTTTCGAATTGTATCTGTAGAATCATTATACGTTTCCACATAAACATTTTCTATACTACTTGCCTCAACCAAAGTGCTAAAAAACAGTTTTCAATAATGGGTTTAGTACAATCAAAAAAGTTTGTGTTTATTAAACTGCAACTGAGAGATAACAGTTCTAAGCTATTTTTCACAGTATTTTGGACCTCAATAACACTTAGTTTCAAAAAAGAAATGTTTAACTAAGTGTAAGTAGGTGTTTGCAATAAATATTTATAAATTATCTTTTACCTATATCAATACGAAAGTATGTATATAAAGGCATTTGTATACTTATTCTATTGCCAAAATATTGAATTTCAAATAAAAGGTATATTATTATGGCTAAATGAATCTTCAGGTGAAAAGTGATCTGAACAAACTTTGGCAACTTTCAGTTTTGATATCTTCCACATTTATTTTTAAGTTTTTAAGCCAAATGTTCAGTCAAAATATAGTATTTAATGGTCAAACTGATGTATCGTAGTGAACAAAATCTGAAAACATCTAATTTAAACACCAATTCAATGCAGAAAAAAATTAAATGAAAAATTTTATGAATATGATCCAGATTCTTAAATAAACTGTTAAATATTAAGCTCCCTTATTAAGTATCTTGAATCTTGAAACATTGGGAACTAATCATTATTATCATTATACGTTTAACCGAAAAAGACACTGTGGCAACCTCTGATGGTACCACTGTTTGTTGTGCATGCGATTATGGACCTTATTATCATACGACAATTGTTTATGTTAACAAGGCATATCTATTCCCATCCATGATCAAATGTTAATTTATTAGAAAAGCAAGGTTATGTTTATGGTAAGTGTTAAGTGCTGTTTACTGGGGAGTCTTGCAAAGTTTGTTTAACAGTAGGTACCTATTGAAAATGAATCAACAGCAACAATTTGAAGACCTACTTTTGGAAGTGATTCTAGTGATATAGTGAACTTAGTATTTTTATGTCACTTTCACTTATTTTACTTATTTTTTAATAGTAATAGTAATGATATGTTGTACCTATAAATAAACTTTATTTTTGACTATCCTATACTAAATTATCCAAAGAAAATTGGTCAGTTTACTTACTAACCGACGAGTTTGTTATTATATGTTACTACGAATATTAGGTCCATAATTTATCCAAATACTTTGGATAGTTTGTAAACTAGTGAAAAACAACGGTAAATTTATGTACTTTTCTTGTGATTTGCGCTTTAGCAATAAATCTTGTATAGTTTGTAAACTAGCTGGGTAATATACAAACCAACCAATGTTCATAGCTATTTTAGTAGAAATATAAGTTTCCATCAAAATAGCCAGCCATTTGGATAGTTTATAAACTAACCAAGTAAACCCTTTAACCGTAACATATATAGTAGAGCAATGTTCATAAAACTTGATGCTGTTCTCACTTTTTTCAGAACTTCGTCGGGGGCAGTGGAAATAATTTGTAAATTTAATGTAAAATTATTACACATTTACCAAGATTAAAAATACTATATGTAAAAAATGCAGGGTGTATAAGTTCAGAAACGGTACAGTTTTTCATGTTTTTTATCATGACATATATTTGTAATAAAATACGTCAAAGCTAAACAAAAATTCTACCGCTCCAGATAATGTTCTTGGATAAATGGGCACAGAAGCATATTCTTTTAGCCCTTCATTATCATATATAAAAAATTTAAGGTGTATCAGTGTAGATATTACCATCTTTGAATTTTTAAAATTTTCGGAATACTTATGTTATATATGTGTATCATATAAATTATTTGCACCGCTTCCGAGTCACATCTCTAAAAAATTGATTAATAAAGAATTCCTAGCTTTATATATTTCATTTTTTACCGTTGCTAAATATCGTTTTTATCTTTATCACTTTTTCCGTTGCTAATCGCCGTTTCTATCTTCACAGAGGTATGAAAACAAGAGATACAGCGCTTTGAAAATATAAAAGATCTCAAAATATATCAGACTTTATTCATTAAAAAGAAATGCGGAATATTTTTACTAGTGCAAATTAGAAAGAAAATCAGCTTATTTAAATTACCGTCCAAGCATGTAAAACAAAAAACCTTTGGAAAGCAATGAAATCCTTGAATATTACAATAAAACTACATTCCAAATTTCTGATTAGTTAATTCAAATGTATATAATCTCGGTATTTTCATTTAAACTCGCAAACAATATCTAAATGAAATTAGGTCAATCTCAACAAAAATGTTACAACTTTCTACTTCCGTCTGTGCTCTTTACAATCATAACGCATATTGTAAATTGCTTTTTAGAAGTTGGTTACTTTCCTGACAGTTGGAAGTATTCCTTAATCAAGCTTTTGCCAAAATCAAATAAGCCGGAGCATTTAGCGACCTTCTGCCTATAAGTATTTTACTGACGTCGAAAATTATAGAAAAAGTAATTGTAGTAAACAAATATGTTCGTGTTTTATCATAATATTGTAACCACTAAATAAGGATAAGTAACATTACTACAATATTATTTTGTCCTACAAACAAGTTATTTAATACACAATACAACCTTAAGTTATTTATTCAAAAAGAGCCTCTAAAATCATGTAGTGTCAGAAACTTAGGCATTATCTAAGTTTTCACGCAGTGACGGCTGGTGTCCAAAATATTGAGGTTCACAATTACAGAATATAGGTGTCAGTACAGTTGTAGGTAAAAAACTTTCAGTTTAGTATAAGGTATAATATACCTTAATTATATTGTGTCATTGCGAACCCCAATATTTTGGTCACAAGCCGCCGCTGGTTCACGACTACTGTAACAACCGAGAAGCCTAAAGACCACTACTTGTCACTGAATGTAACAACTAACTGCCTAAATACCATTTGAAACACTGATAGGTCTTTAGCTACTCTTGTTCATATATTATTAAGAGATTAGGGCAGCACCGTCACCAGCCAAAGAGTCCTGGAGTCCAGAAGGAACATCCATTCACCAGTGGCAAATAAAAATAATAAAAAAATTAAATTAAAAGAATAAAAATAATCCCTTAATAGCATAGTCGAGCGGTTCTTGTTCTAAGGGAATAGAAACGCCGAGGCTTCTCAAATGCTTGGAATATTTGCCTAGTTTTGAAAAGGGGGGAGAGATTAATAATAAGTATTAAAAGATTAACAAATGTATATTTAATTTGACTAATAGACTTAAGAAATAATGACTAAGATTACATTTAGGGAATAAAGCACTACTTGTTAATATATCTAAACTTTAAATAAATAATTATGACACCAGATAAGCATTTCGTTGAACTATGCAGTTATAAATAGCACTGCAAAACTTTAATAAATAAATATGATAATTCGGGACGAAAATGTAAAATTGGCATTTATATGTATATCAATTAATTATTATCAAACTAAAAACTTTAAAAATAAGTTAAAGATATTTACCCATAAATCACAAATCGCTGCAAAAAAAAGTTTACTTTACACATTACTTTGTTTTGGGACTTAAAGAGTCCCAAAAAAACGAGAGCTTTCGCCCTCAGCGAAAGTTCTGGACCTTAGTCCGCACTCGATTGAGAGTCTTTTCTTTCTGTTTCCTCTCTATATAAACCAAAATTTACGTGATGGTTGTATTTTTGAAAATGTCACGCTCAATGTAGGCATTGACTATATTAATAACCTGATTGTTTGTTTTATTTTCATACGTGTGTTCCGTTTTATTTTTTTAATTTAAAACATTCAAATACTTATTTATAATTTTTGGTAAATTCTTTATATTTTCAAATAGTAATAATGCCAATTATTACACTACATTTCGCTTCTATAAAGTTAAAAAATCGTATCTGGTTCGATAATTATACACAAATTGAGGTATTTTGAGTATCAAGTTACGTAAAATGCTCTGTGAAATATTGTATTGTTTATCCTAAATTAGGGACTTTTAATTTATTATCCTTGTTCGGATCAAATAACCAAATATAGGCTTTTAAAGATTCAAAACTCTTGTTGTTGTTTTGTATTTGGTATTATAAATAAATCAGAAATAAAGGAAGTTTATTAAAATATCAGGTAGCGGCCACGGTATTTCGAATCATTCCAACCTCAACTCCCATATTATATTTAATAATAAATTGATACATCGGCAAGATCTACACAGTTTAGATTTGAGATGCCCTTACAACTTATCGATTCCAAGTTATCGAATATTATTTTTAAAAGATTTTTCACATATTATAACGCCGCGGCGCGGCGTCTCAATATATAATAATCTACCTAGGGACATTAAAACACGTTCTCTAACATTTTTAAAACAAAATTAAAAAACTTTTGCTAATTGTTTTGGATATTTAAAGATTTTTGGGATATTATTTTGTATCGTATTTTATAGGTTGTAAATATATTATATTTTTTGTTTCAGGTTGTCAGAGCTGCTAGTCCTGTGTTACTAAGAGTGATAGCTTTGGGAGCTTTCTTCATTTATACTACGGTAAATAATAGTTTTTTTTACCTATAGGTATCAGTAATGATTTACATTATTATAATGCAAAGATAAATCGGAAACGTATTCATTATTTCCATTAAAAAGAAAATATAGAACATTTTAGCTAACATTACTTTTGTCCCTCGTCAATTATACAATACATTGTAAACGTTAAAGTTCACATTACATGGGATTTTTTATTATTTAGTTTAGACAATTTTTTTTTTAGTTTTTACTTCGAAATTAATAAAAAATTACGTTACCCATTGTTTCTGTCAAATTTGACATATTTTCAAAAAAATTACAATAATTTATATTTCTCAAAATTTCTATTGGTCTATAGATTTGAAAATTCATATTTATGGCACTTCTTAACTGAAATGTCATTTTCTACTGTGATAAAAATAAATAAAGTGAATTTTAATATGAAATGTTTCGATGTGGCGTGACATTTCATTCATCTTAAGGTCCACATTATTGATGGATACTTTGGCGAAATTTTCGTGGCATTCTAGTACTATATCTGAGTAAATTTGTGGTTTGTTTAGATTAGTGCTTGTCTGCTAGCTGTATAGATGAGGATGTTCCTTCTAGTGATATTGTTTCTGGTAATTTCTTTTGCTGCTATGAACATCCCCGGGAACTCAGTTTGAATTACACATTGATTCCACATTCAATCCTTGTTTTGTTTTAGAATCATTAGTGTAGATATGAATCGTACCTGCCTCTTCCAGCTCTCCTATTTGATCCGTTATAACTTTATAAGGCTTATGCAGCATATATCTCGGTGAGATGGAGTGCATGATCGCTTGAAGCACTGAAAGCGTATCAAGGACATCCCGTCAAAAGCGACGTCTTGCTTCACCAGATCCTACACCAGGTTCTATTCCAACCGTACGAAGTCAAGTCATTGTTAACAGAACAACTCCATGATGGAATTATCAAGGGAAGTGATACTAAAAATTACTTCCATGGCTCTGGTTGACGTGGCTTTCATTGCTCCTATTATGCTGTCCTTTAAATTTGTTCTAGTTTGCAGATAACTGTCAATTGTTGTATTTTCGGTCTCCAGATAACGGCGCCGTATGTTAGGATAGGTCTTATGATGGTATAAGTCCATGTCACGACTGAAGGTGCGCCTCAAGGTTCGATGTTATTATTCATTAGAAATGTATACTTTTTTGACTCTAGATGTAAGTTCCATGTTAACTTTCTGTCAAAGGTGAAACCTAGATACTTCACCTATGTTGCAAAGTTTAGTTTTGTGTTTTGGAGGTCTGGAGGTTTTAGTTCCATTATTATTCTTTTTCTTGTGAAAAGGCGCATTTCTCTTTTCTTGGAATTGATCATAATGAATGGTCCTTGCAGCACTGTTTTATAATTTTAAGAAATACTTGCATTGTTTCGCAGAATATTTGAGATCAATTCCCTGCTTGACGAGGTCACCTGGATACGCTATTATGTAGAGATTGTCATTATTGAGGTGGCTAATGAGGGTGTCGAGGACTATGTTCCACAGTAGAGGGATAGTTCCTCTCCCTGTGGACATCCCTTCGCAACGAAGCATCTTTTATTCACATCTTCTACATGTATGTTTAGTGCTCGCTTTGAGAGCATGTTATGTATCCATTTAATAAGAATCTGTGGAACATTCCTGTTGGTTAGTGAGTATTATCTTGGAAAGGTGGTTCTGTCAAAAGCACCTTGCATGTCTATGAAAACACCCAAGGCAGACTCTTTATTGTCCAGGAATCTCTCTATCCGGCCAGCAACTAAGTGAAGGGCCGGTATGTTTTTGGGACAGTGTAATCCATCCTTCCAGGTTTGGGTATAAAGACCAAATTTATCTCCTTTCATTTTTTGAGAGCATATCTGAGAGTTAACAAAAATCTTATTATACCTTCCCAGTGCTGCGTGGGTTTTTTTCAGATCCCACTGAAGTAGGACTGGGTAGATACCGTCAGGTCCTAGTGATTTAAATTGGGGGAAGTTAGAGATTACCCGTCTAATTTTGCCTTTGTCCACAATGTATTTGACAGTTTGCTAATTGACCCAGTCAGCCACGTCTGTGATAACTGAGTCCAGGAAGTGTGTAGAGAGCAAAAGTTTGATGCTGTCTTCGAGGTTTGCATTTTTCATGCCATCCCCTTTGATTAACGCACCTATACTGCGGTGTGAATCTTTTCAGAGAGTTTTTTGAAGCCTTGTTGCCTGCGGGAAATTTTCTATTTCCTCGCTGTAGGCTCTCCATGCATCTTTGCGTTTTTGTCTAACGAGTTTTTGTATATTCTCCGAGGTGAGAATTGTAAGGGTCCCAGTCCTTTCTGAGTGTTGTAGTTCTTGCGTTATTAAAGATTTTTCTAGTCATATAACTCGTGACTACACCATTTGGTAGTCATTTGATCGTGTTGAACAGGGAGCAAGATTTTTTTTAGGCATTGTTTTTTGTGTTCGAGTACGTTTGCAAAGCATTTTTATAGTTTGGTTTCGGCCTCCACCTCTCGAAGAGCCCCTTAAAGGTGATAATAAATTGCCCTTTTTTGCCAGTTTAAAATTGATTTATAGATACCAGTTGTGAATAAACTGTTTGACTGCAAGAGATTAAAAATGGTGTAGTACATTCATTTAATATACAAAGATTTTTGTACTGCCCCGGCTGAGTTGATGAGCATTTAAGTCATAACATGAATATTATAATAATAATAACCTAGCTTATTGTATTTTTTTTTTGAAAACATAAAATTTAAGGTATATATACATACTGTGTACGTATCATTAAATGTTAAGTATTGGACACGGAAACTTCTTCTCTAAAGATAAATAATTATCCTTTTAAACGGAAGAGTTTATTGACATTACAAATTATATATATATTTTTTTTGACAAAAACATTCAAATAATTTTGTTTAAGTACAGGGTAATTTTTTAACATTAAAGCCTGCATCAAATTTGACTTTTTTATTATTATTTAATTTACGCAAATTTAATTGATGATCAATTTTGTTCAGAAAATATTAAAAAATGATGACGACTTATATTCTTTTTCGCTTAAGAACAAATTTAAGTGGTTGATTTTTTAAATTGAAAAATCCAAATCCGCTATTGTACGATTACAAAGAACACCTCTTCAATTATTTCATTTCTCACATTGACATTGGCTAAACTCGTATAAGATTTCTTTTAGATATAAAAAACGAACCAATACAATTGTGTTGAATGCTTACTCGCTTTGAGTATAATAAGCTTTCATTTGTAGTGGACAAATTTTTTATTAAACGAAAATGGTGAAAATATGGTATTTGTTAAAAATACTTATGTTAATAATTAGTTTCAAGCAAACCCCAAAATTTCAAAGATATGATATCGTATTGTAAAAAGCTAAGGGGTCCGTAGACTATCAGTCTCAGAGAGTTTATGTAAACTTCAAACAGAGGTTAGTGTGTTAACGAATTTATTAAAATAAAAAACATACATATGAACATAGAATAAGGTACACAATAATTTAGAATAAATACCTAAACAAGGTAGAACGAATATATCGTCGGTGTCGTTCTAATACCTCGTAACCCTCATTTTGACAAAAATTAGATTTTTACGTCAAATTGTTGCGGTTACCCATATTTACCATTACAGAAAACCTCGTAGCCCACAAAATTTTTAAAACTTTAACTTTTTTAAAACCTCGTATAGTAATAGTAATAAATAAACAGAACGGTTTTTGGCTTCTCCTGTAAAATGTTACTTTTGGGCTAACGAGGTATTAGAACGACACCGGCGATATATTGGGTGTATTTTATAGTGGTATCCGAAGTTTTTTTTAAATAATTTGACAAACAGTAAATTTTTTGTAATAAATGTTTTTTGTATTGAAATTAGATCCATTACAATTTATTTGGTCACTTTTTGAAGATGACATCGGCCAAGTGGCCACCTCCGCACGCCACACACAAATCGGCCCGTTTTTTGGCATTTTCCATTACTTTTTGGAGTGTTTCGGGTTCAATGGCAGCGATTTTTCGGCGTATGTTGGCCTTAAGTTGTTGGAGAGTTCCTAGTTTATTGGCATAAACCTTGCCCTTCAGGTATCCCCACAGGAAAAAGTCAGATGCGGTCAAATCTGGTGAATGAGCCGGCCAGTCGAAATCGCCGTATTTCGATATCAATCGATTCGGAAACATGGCACGCAATAAATCCATTGTTAGACGGGTTGTATGACATGTTGCGCCATCTTGCTGGAACCAATAGTCGCCCATGTCATGTTCGTCCACCTCATATGCCAAAAAATCGCGTAACATGGCCCGATATCGCTCGCTATTGTCTATTACCGTGGCGCCGTTATCGTCTTCGAAAAAGTACGGGCCGATGACCCTTTCAGCACAAATACCGCACCAATCAGTGACTTTGGGGGAATGCAACGGCTCTTCGAAGATCATTTGAGAATTTTCAATGTCCCAAAAGCGGGTATTTTGCGTATTAACAACGCCACACAGCGTGAAATGTGCTTCATCGGTCATGATCAAACAGCTCCAAAAATCAGGTTAACCGGCAATGATGTCCTGCATATTGCAACCGTATTGGATGCGACGCGGCCTATCAGTTGGCAATAATTGTTGAGTGGTCTGCATTTTGTAAGGAAAGGCGCGCAAATCCACCCTTAACAACCGCCATATGGACATGGAACTTGTTGACGCTCCGCGACGTTAGCACTTACGGCTGCTATTGCTTCTATACTTCGTCTGGTACGCGGCTTATTTCGACGGACAGAGGTTGCCAAAGATCATGTGGCATTAAACTTTGCAACCAAAGCACGAATAGTCTTCGGGGTAGGAGCATTCTGGCCACGATACCTCGCTCTGAACATGCGTTGAGTCAGCATAACAGTTTTTTTGAAAATAAATTTTTACAATTTCAGCACGTTGTTGTGGTGTAAGGTGGTTCATTAGTACTGGACTGACGTTTCTAAAACATTAACAAACATGTATATTTTTTAGGCATAGTATCCGATATCCATGAGAGTTTACTGAATAATATCCCTGCCACCAGGGAAATTATTCCTGAGAAAGGATGGGTTATCCTATCAAAAGAAAGTAAGTCCTTATTAGGAGTGAATATCAATGTCTGATCTACTCATAGCAATAAAAATAAAAATAACGGATACCAAGGCTGAGAGTCCCATAATGATACCACCACCACGACTTTCACCATTTAGCTTACTGTAGTAGTACTTATAAAATTATGCTAAAAGGCGGAAATATATAAAATTAAAAATTTTAACCAGTTAAAAATGCTACTGTGTTTGGGTTTCCCAGCCAAGATATAAATCGTTTACATTTAGCATTTGCAAATAAGTTTTTTCCGGTTATTCTTTTTAAAAAAATGGAAAACTGCTATTCACCGTTCCGTCTACTATTTTGAATAACGGAAAGCTTTACCAGCTCGATAATTAAATTTGGAAAAATATAAAGAGGCAACGGTTCACATCTTCGCCAAATTGTATAAGCAAGACAGAGTATTTAACTTGGGATATTAATATAATAGTGTATAATAAACTTCCCATTCTTTTAACACATTATAATGATAGTAGCCACAATGTTATCTTCTCGGTACAGTATATTAATTTATGGTTTTTCGTTTGTAAAAACATTTTAACCTGAACAAAACTGATAAAATCTGTAGAAAATTTATATGATACTCTTGTTCAGATTCTGACCAATAGACCCATTGCAGAACACGCTCCATCCCTTCTTGAAAGCGTCTGTAAAAATTTCAATATCAAAGAAATCTACACGAATATATCTACTATCACGTAATTTATTAATCCAGCATAACAAAACATTTGCTAACTTTTTAGATATTTTCATTACTGAATTGTTATCCCCTTTTGCTTTTTACGAGCTAAGAACTTTTCTCACTCTACGATCTTTGTATAAAGTAAAGAGTATTGTATTGCTGGATATAGGCAGAAAACTAGTTTCCCTTACAATTTATAAAATTCTCTAATGGTCGGTCCATCTTTCTTGTACTGAAAATTATTTTATAATTTTATATAAGAAAACAAGTATAAGAAGCTAATTTTTCTAGAAATCCAATAGTTTCTGAAAAAACTTAATACATATGAATTGCCTATTAACAAAAAACATCTATGTATCATGAATCTGAACTTGGTAATAATAAAATAAAATAGGAACAAAAATAAATTAAAATAAACTAAATAAAACGTATTAAATATTGTGATTGGGATATTTACCTCCAGGGTGAACGCCTGAAGAAGATAAAAAGGGCCAGCTGAGTTAGGTATTTAGTGTTTTGTCCATTACAACACTTACAGATACATAGTATGTATCTAAATAAAATCGAACAGTGAAAAAGAAACATAGTTGTCACTAATATTTTTTTCCGTATTGATTTTGAGTTTTCTTTATCAGAATCAATGTTAGAACTTAATAGGTTCATTTCATTTTCTACAAATGCACTATTGTCTTGTTTCATTTTATTGAGAATGCGACTTTTACGATAAAACGTATTTTTTGTAATTAATTTGACAAAAGCTAAAACGTCTAAAACATTTTAGAGCAAAAATCATTTCTATAAATCTTATTTACTACAACAATTTGTAACAATCACCCAATTAAGTGCACAAAAAAACTGAAGGAGAATGAAACGAAACAATAGCGAAGAGGAAGATGAAAACGAAAATGAAGTATCGAATGTTGGAAGTTTTAGAGTTTAATTGCTACAATTCAATAGTCTGAAGTTCTAAACGGGAATAAAAATATTTTATCTGTATTTCTAACTACAATTCAGTCACAGACGAGAATAGACTTGAATGTTCAATACCTATCACGGGCTGGCTTAAACCGTGAAAATGCAATTGAAAAATATTTTTCAAAAGAGATATACCTATACGTCGTTTGTATGGATTTTATAATAGAGAGCAGTTGTTGGTTTCACAATAGGAGAAAAGTTTTGTTAAAATATACCTAAGCGTAGAAATATATTCGTAGAAGAAAGAGAGATTCGAAAAAAAAAAAAACAAAATAATATGGATGACGGAGCTTTGTTGTAGAATAAAAATTTAAAAAAGGGTGCGTTATATTAGAATTTTTTGTTTTAGATGATCGTAATGTACCCCAAACCGTCGGTGTATACCTGCACTGCAAGAATTTGGTTAAGAGAAATTGGTTTCTCCCTTACCTACGGGGCTTTAATGCTGAAAACTTGGAGGTAAGCAAATATAATACTCATTCAACTTTACCCTAAATGTACTATATGTCCTACCTTTGTATGAGTCAAGCTACCAGGGAACATATTAATTATAATAGTCATTAATTTTGAAAATGTAAATTACGCGATAATATGCAAAATTATTAAAGTGAGTCGTTTCCGTAGAGCTATTTAGATGACACACGAGAAATGTAATTAGGACGTTATTATTTTATTATTAATAAAATACACTAACGTGAAATTTGCGAATTTAGTCTTCATATATGTATACTGAGAAAAAAAAGATATAAGTCCTAAAATACGAGCAATTTAGTTTGTAGAAGAGGTAAATTGTTATTAGGATGATGAACAGACAAACGAAAAAACAAGAAACGGTTAAAGTGTTGAGGTTAGTTCTGCTATTTACTGTTTTTATTTTGTAGCAAGATGTTAATATGTACATTTTCTATTTTGTCATATAAATAAAAAAAGGTTAGCCTAAACGTGATATATTGTTATTGTCAACTCTAAGTGGTTATGGGCCCAGAATTCTGAAGTTGGAGAGAATCTGGAGTTCGTATTATAAAAGTAAAGTGAAATAGAATGTCGTTCAATTCTGCAGTATCGCCTACTTTTTAAAGTAAGAGAGAAGTTCCAACTACATTGATTGGAAATATAGTTTGGAAATATAGTTTGGAAATATAGTATGGAGCATTTACGAATCCAGAGGATTCTCTAGCATTATCGAACAGTTAGTTATCGTATGCTATTCTGATGGCTAAATGTCTCAGTAGAAAACTGTAACTTGCGCAGCAACTTAAAGCTATCGATAATGAAATTAACAGGTGTCTTAGCAGCTTTAATCTTTGTAAGCCTTCCTGATCACTTTAAACCTCTTATCATGGCTCTGAAAAACTGTGGATTGGAGTTAACTACTGACTTAATTGAAAATAGGTTACTAGCAGAAGATTTTAAATACGAAACGGAAAAGAAAGAATAATGTGCATTAGCAAGTAAAAAGATGACAGTAAATAAGACTTACAAGTATAGAGGCAAATGTTATAACTGCAATAAGTATGGGCATAAAGCGAAATAAATTTTGTCGACAATATGAAGAATACAGAAACTGAACTAGTCGTCACAGCCTTAGGAACTAGTAATCTAAGTCAAGAAGAATGGTATGTACTTTAGTTCACCTTACGGGATGTTCTAATTGGTTGAGAAATATTAAGGAAGAAAGAAATAGTGAAATTGTTACAACAGCTTCGGGTGAACAATTTAAGATAACACACTATGAAGAAACGTCAGTGATCTTAAAGATTAATGGTATCGCAGTAGAAACATCTTTAAGAGATATTAGGCATGCTCCTAGATTGAAGTTAACCTAATTTAATGCAAGCAATTAGCAAAGCAAGGAGTCAAAACTATTTTTTAAAATAAAGAGATGTAAAATGAGAGATAAATACAATAGAAATTATTAGCTGTAGCCATAAAGGGAGAATGACATAAGCTAGACTTACAGAGAAAGTTCAAAGTATGTACTACAAAGGTGGATAATTTAGAAACAGTCCCACCCAAGCTTTGAGTGTACCTGCATAGAACTGAATGCTTTTAACGTCGCTTGACTGTTTGAGTATTTGACAATGGTTTTTCCATTTACCTTCTGTCTTAAAACATCTTTTGCGCAGTGATGCTTTTTCTGCCTGGAATACTGTCGCATGTTTACTTAAGCTCAGTGGAATTATCGTCTTTGACTTGGTACTATATATAGCTACTCCTGAACCTTCATGGGTTTTGGAGCCATCTGTATACCTGAATCTGCATGAATAGGAGGTCCTCTTGTCTACGCTTTCCTATCTGGTATACTTACTTTATATTGCTTTTGAAACCTATACTTTGGGAGCATTTCATCTGAAGACATTCCCATTATTTGGTCGTTCTCCAACTTTTTATATATCTCGCTATAGCCGCGTACATGCAAACTGGAAGATGAACCTTTGTGCAGTCTGTATGTGATAGACCTGGCTTCGCCTTGAATCAATATATGTATTGGTGTTAGGTTTAGCATGACTTCTATAGCTGCTGTTGGAGTCAATCTCATGGCTGCCGTGATACTCAGGCATCGGCCTTATGACTCTGGTATATAACTATAGGGATATTTTCGATTGTAGTACACAATTTTTTCCTCACAACTTTCGAAATAAGATAAAGGATGTGCTCTTTAAAGTGACTTTTTGCAAACGTTGATTCCATGTTAACCTGTGGTCAAAGATGAAGTATATGGCCTCTTGAACAAATGAAATCTTTAGTCCTGTCAGTAATTTTCGTTTTATGAAGTTGACTATTGTGGTTTTGTGAAGATTTACTATTATCTCTGCACCACTCGTTAATAATGTTTTGAGCGATTTGTATGCGCTCCAATATTGTACCTGTGAACTTGCCTCTTACGACGCTTGCCAGGTCATATGCATACCCTAGGCAGTAGAAATATGCAGATATTAGCCTTTTTATGAGTTCGTCCACTAGAACTGACCAGAGGAGGGGTAATAATACTCCTGCCTGGGAGCAACCCCTGCCTGCTTTATCTATCAGTGTAGCTTCGTCTAGAGATGATGTTATTACCTATTCTTCTAGGCTGGCTTTTATCCACTGATATAGGTCTCAATATCAACGAAAGTTGCTACTGTAATTCCTTTATCCTCCAGGGATTTTGACAATGGCCTGTTGAGATCATTCAGGGCCAAATCGGTTGACTTGCCTGGCTCATTTGCATATTGACAATCGATGATAGGATTGCCTCTCAGTATTTCGTCTCGTATATATCATCACCAACCAGAGCCATGGAAGTCATTCTTAGTCTCACTCCCCTTGATATTTACATCAAGGAGGTTGCCTGACGACAGTGACACGCCTCTGCACGGTTGGAATAGAACCTGATGTAGGATCTGGTGAGGCAAGACGTCGCTTTTAGCAGGAGGCGCTCGATACGCTCCCACTGCATCAAGCGAACATGTACTCCATCTCACCGAGATATATCTTCCATAAGCCACATAAAGTTATAATAAAACAAATAGAAGAGCCAGAAGTGGCAGGTACGATTCATATCTACACCGACGGTTCTAAAACAAAACAAGGCTCATGATGTGGAATATACTCCAGATTCTTAAACCTAAACATAAAATGGGCTGTGAGCAATAGTGCTCAAACAGAGCTAACGGGGATTCTCATTGCAGCAAAAGAAATAACCAAAAACAATATCACTGGAAGGAACATGTTCATCTATACAGATAGCAGACAAGCACTACTCACCCTGAACAGACCACTAATTTACTTAGGGTTAGTACTAGAATGTCACGAAGCTTTGGCCGAAGTATCCATCAACAATGTGGTCACCTTAAGATGGATCAAAGGTCACGCCACATTGAAAGGTAACCGTCTTGCTGATTCACTAGTCAAGAAAGCAGCCAACCAAATACTTTTTGGACCTGGCCCTTCTATTGGCCTGACAAAATCGGTAGTGACAAACCTAATTAAACAACATTCTCTTGTGAAAATCAAGGAAAGATGGGATGAAACAAGAAACTACAGAGTTCCCAGGAAACTCCTAAGTTATCCTGACAACACTGCAGCAAACAAATAATTGACTATGACTAGACAGAATCTGCGCCTAGTCACAGGCATTCTGACTGGTCATTGCCAAGTACGGAAGCATCTCCATATCATGGGGCTGTAAAAATCCGCACTCTGCAGAGGGTGCGAACAAGAAGACGAGACCATCGAGCATATACTTTAAGATAGATTATTTGTATTCGGCGAGTGTCAGCTAACACTGGCCAATATAAGGGAAGCACCTCTTGGCGACGTTGTCAACTACATTAAATCTGTAGGCTAGTTCACGAGCTAGGAGGTGCCTATTATCTTAGGAGGATGCACAATAGACCTAATGAGGCCTAAGTGCTGTGGGGGGCAGCCCACCCTCCACACATTACAGATACAGATGTCGCCAGGCTATACATGCTTTAAATATGCGACACATATAAGGAATTAAAGTTTACTGCCCCTTTTGTAGTAGAATGGGATATATTCAATCTACTCCTGGGGATTTATATGGTTGAAATTTGTTTGTAGCCCATCTAATTTTTTTCGACCTCGATATTTTTGTAGCTAGCCTCCATTCCATAGAAGTTGGCCTACGAAACCTTTTGAGGGCTGTATCGGGTCTAACAAAATTTCTGCGGCCGGAAAGTGTACTTCTGTGAGCATTGTTAACGTTTCCTCGAAGGTTTTTGTATAGGTTTCATCATATTTCCTAAGATATCCTAATTGGTTAGCTAAGACTTTGTGGATTCTAAAGCATGTGGGTGTTTCAGATAACTCCTCACAGAACTTCCTCCACGACTGACTTTTAGTAGAAGATCTCAAAGAGAGATTAGTAATAAAATATTAAAATATTTGGGTCCTGCGGAGTATTCTTTAGGTATTAAAATATAAAGAAACGGGACAGCAGACAAGATTAACCTGAATAAAACTGAATATTTGAAAAATATTTTAAAAAATTTAAGATGTCTGAGTGTAATCCAGTAAAAAATCCTATGGACTGTGGAAAGAGGTTAAGAAACTTTAATGAGGAAGACCTAGAGCACTGAATAACACCGCGACTCTTTATGCTTTATGAAATAATTTATATTACTAAAATAAGCCAAACGAAGATAACAGTTACAAAGTTTATACACTCCACCATATTTTCTATGCCTTCTTCGATTACTCTAAAGTCTACCTCGGATGCTGAGCTATCGAACACACCATATTCGTATCATCTATCATCCGATTTTCTGAAGTTACGAATTTCATACAGCCGAAACCTTACCAATCACTATTTCATTATCCATTCGTTATTTTAGATTGCCAAATTTAAATAGCTTCCACGCATATTTATAAACTAAATATTTAATCAAACAATTTTGATTTGCGAATATTCAGTTTGCACAGAGATTAGTTAACAAATTGTTTTTGGATATAAT